GAAGAGTGACTGTCAAGGAATCGACGAGGGTCAGCAAACAGTAGCGAATAAAAGCCCATGGCCAGAGATTTTTTGGTCCAACAAAATGCTTGTATATAACGAAACATAAAGAACAGGACACATTTTCAACGTTTATGGCTTTATTTTTGATATCGTGCGATGTAGAGCAAAGTGTATACGGTGTGATCATATCCCAGGGTACCAACCCAGCAAGCCGTTCAGTTGGCGCATTCTGATTTTGGACTTTGACCACTACCACCTTTCCTTTGAACATCAGCCACGAGAACACATCGTTCACCAAAACTAAAAACGATGTCAACAATGTCAAGTTCACCGACAAAAGCGACGACTCCTCCACCGACCATCTTACCCTCTCCCAGCCAATCGCCTTCATCCAAAGCAGCCGTCACGGTCAGCGCTTCGCCACCAGCTCTAACGACGACTGCAGCAGCAGTATCTCATTCATCTCCAACATCTCTCATGTCTCCTCCTGCTCTCGTCCCGACTACGACTCCATCCAGCATCACCACCTCCACCTCCACCACTCTAAACGTTCCGCACAAAAACCCCACGAAACCATCCCGCCAAGCGGCCGCGACATCGAATGCAGACAAATCCTCGAGCGCTGGATCTCCAGGACTCACGCTGGGCAGCAATAGTCTGGCTGGTCTGCCCTCCGGATTGACCCCAGCCGCTCTGAGCTTGTCGCCCAGTGGAGTGACGCGGTTGGGGAGCAAGAGCCCAAGCAGCATTCCGAGTTCTCCGACGAGCATGTGAGTATCGTTTGTGATTTCTTGCTCATTTCTCTCTCCGTTTTGCGTATCGAGGTCGGCTCGGCTGTGGTACCTCCGGGTCTGCATCATGCGGTGAAATGAGCTAGGACCTATGCGGGCACGGCTCACGGCCAATTTGCTAACTACGCCTTTTGGAATAATACAGGCAGGACTGTCTGTTGTTTGGAAATGGTGGCAGATTTTGTCATGATTTTCTTGCAATTGGCGGAGGCCACCTCTCTGCGAGTGTTTCGCCCCTACGCTCTGATTAGCCGTTGCCTGGCCTTCTGGCACGGATTGGTCGCCAGTGTGTGAGGCCCAGGCCAGCCCTCTGCCCTACGCTCTTCTTCTAACGGAAGGCAAGGAGTGTTTGCAGGAACTTTGCGTCTTCCGGAGGTCTGTGATCAAGTCTAGAGAACCCACGGGATACGGCCATGGAAGCGAGGTAATGCCACCGCAATCGGGGATATACACACACACAACTGAGGTGGCATGAAAAGCCTAAAACACAGGGGAAGCCGTTTCACGATATTCATTCCCGGATACAATCTCACTTCAGTTGCAATGGTTTCGTGTGAATCCGGCATTTGTGGTTACGCCCTAGATTGTCACAGCGACTGTAGCTGTGGGTATGGCAGGATTTCGCCTTTATATCTGGCGAACCTATTACGTCGCCTCAACACTTGCTCCTCCCCCACACGTTATACGTTCATTTTCTCTATCACTGTCTTTACTTTTTATTGTACCAAAAAATCTCTGGCCATGGGCTTTTATTCGCTACTGTTTGCTGACCCTCGTCGATTCCTTGACAGTCACTCTTC